CAGAACTAGCCGTATGTCCCAAGAAGTTATATGCGTCACATCAGGCTTCAATGCCTGCAGGCTGGCTCTAAAATTACTTTAGCACCGCAGACACCAAATACATTTGAAAACAGAAATGCCATGCGCTTTAATCTAAGAATATTCACAAGAATATTTTCAGCCTAAAATCAACAGAAAAATAAGAATATTCAGCCTCCGCCCGAAAAACAATATTCTTATAAAAAAAGAGAGTGTATTGCGAATTTCTGAAGTAACATATTAATTAATTCTTTTTTGTTGTTGTTTGTTTTGTTTACTTTGTCCCCAGCGTTAATTGTCGTTCATTAATGTTTTAAGGTTTGGCTAACCATAGCGGTTAGTCTGCTACGGATCATCCTACTCCGTTGGTTGATCCAAATGTTCCTCTGGTAATTTTGAGCTTGCATCTGTCTTGAGATAATCGATATCGGCGTAGACAGTTGGAAACTCTCTTTTAACTGGTCCCGTGTTGCTTGTTGTGGAGTGGTTTAGGTCGGCGTACACAAGACCACGATAAGGGGAAGGCTTCTGTGTATAAAGCAAAATTTTAATTATTGGCAAGGAAAGATTAGCCATGGAAAATATATGAGGAATAAAAAAAAAAAGAGTAGGAAAAAAAAAAAAGCCTGGTTCGTGATAACTTGTCCATCAACACTACAGGGAGGTCAGGCTTTTATGATACTTATTAACTTGTATTGTAACCTTCGTCTGATAATGTATCAATAATGGGGTCAGGTTGATTTTTGGATTGTTTTTCAAACAACATGAGATAATAATTGTAACAGAGAGGACAAGAGAGCAAAATTCTTTGATTGATATTGGAAAACAAATTATAAAAGAAACAAGAAAAAGCACAAACAAACAAACAAACAAACAAACAAAAGCGTTCCCGTAATATTTACCTGAGGTGGCCTCTTTTTCTTGTTTGCTTTGTCAACAACCGCATACAAGTAATCTTTCTTCTCGTCTCCTACGAGTGCGCCCTGTGAGTAATTTGCAGGCTCCACAGAAGAGGGTCTCGCGTCTGAGTGATTTACCGGATCCGCGGAGGACGAACGATTCACAGGTTCAACATCTGAATACGGGCGAATCGCAGGCTCCAAACGTTTCGAGCATGGTGTTCTGGCGTGGACACTCGCTGCAGAGTCTCTACCTTTGGCATCTTTATGAACAACCGCATAAACGTGATCTTTATTTTCCTGTTTTTCTGCGTTTTCCACTCCATGCGCCTGAAGCTTGTTCGTAGCGTCCAGTGGTGAGCTCTCCAATGGCATACAGTATCCATCTTCAGACTGCGTTTGCTTGGCGGTTCCATCCTCGTGGGTTAAAGGCTCTTCTCTATGGGTCTGCGACTTGGTCTGTTTAACATTAGCATAAGTGGGCCCTTCTTGGACTTCAACGGTTTCATAAGTGTCCAGACCCGCCTTAGTCCTCGAAAGTGTTACATGCACTGTGACTTGTGCAGCAGAGCTATCCAGGTGTCGTCCGTGTTCAACTGACTGTTGCCCTGGACTTGAAGGTTTCTTGTAAGTGCAGCGGACCCGACTTNACTTAAAGTCACCAACTTAATTTTTTTTCCTTACCTTCAGAATTCGATTCTGTCAAGGAATATTTAGACGATGTTGGTTGCGTCATAGTAGGATATGTGTCTGGCTCTTTGATACTACTCTTGGTCTGTGGTGTTTCCCCTTAATAAAGAGATTAACAAAAGATTTGTCAATCCGCTTTTATTTTTTTGGATTTGTCCCGATAAATTGTCGATTGAATAAAACTAAACGATTCCTTTTATCATACTTATCGGCTAGACAAACCTCTACCAGTACCCCACCCCCTTCGACCCCTACCATTAACCTGATCATGAATTAAGAAAACACTGTTATTTCTCTCTTTGAATGAAAAAACAACAACAATAAAAATAAATAAAACAAAAAACAAAAGAAAAAGTACAAGGTAAAGCACAGGAACTTGAATGTTAACCTTCTCTTATTTAATTTTGTATAGGGCTATTCAAACAAGACAGAAGTTTTCAAACTCAAACTATTTTCTACCTTTTGATAGTGCTTCTGTCGATAGACTTTTGGACGCTGTTAAACGTGCTGCTGAAGTAACTGCCAAAGATTGCCTGAAGGTAGTTTTCGTGACTGATCCACCCTCTGTCCGGGACGATATCGTTCTCACTGTTGGAACTAAATGGCAATCACATGTTCAGATGGAATTTTTGATTAGATAAACCAGCAAGCCTCTGTTGAACT